ATATATATATATAAGATTTATTTAGTTTTCTCGTGAAATACTTCTTTAGCAACACTTGTATATAAAAATTATATTCAATTACTAATGTATTAAAACCAATTCATATTTTTTTATGCATGTACATTAGCCCCTCCTGAACCAAATCATCGTTCCACCCTAGTGGTATTGGTTTTTATTGAAGTTATGAGAGGTCTTTAATTATGTTTTTAAAGATGTTTGGTTTTGATCCATTTAAATTATGACATAAAGTTATTTGATCATAATATGATATTACTTTTTTTTTTTAGTATATATATATATATAAACTATCTTATATAGTATTCCCATATTTTAAACTTCTTGTTTACAAATTAGTATACAATAGAATTATGCTCAATCCCAATTTTAAAAAGGCAATTAAAAGCATATGGGCATCTGGTATATAATCTTTTTGAAGATTACCCCCTACAATACACTTTGGTGAAACCTCACGACAAAAAATATAGACAAGGGCCAACCAATACTGATACATTTAGTTGAACATATATTGAGCACTAAATAGCCTTCATTAGTTTAAATAAAACAGGAAGCAACAAGCAGGGCCGGCCCTGGCCTTAAGGCCAGTAAGGCCTGGGCCTTAGGCCCAAAACTTGGCCTAAAAAATTAGGGCCCCCAAATTTGTGAAAATATTTATGGCTCCAATTTTTTTTTTTTTGGTTTTAGGATCAATTTAAAGGGTCCCAAAATATTTTTATTAGGTCCAGTATGGTTGTTAGCCATATTTATTTATAAGTGTAGTTTTTTTGCTTATATTTATTAAAATGAAATATATAATGTAAAAAAAAATGTTTGGGCGCAAGAAAAACAATACGTACAATATATGGGCCCTATTTTTTTTTTTTTTACAACCTTCTTTATCTATTAGATTTTTAGTAGAATAAATAATTTTGCCCAATTTTTTTACCTAGGTCTTTATCATTTTAATTGAATAATTTTTTTCTAATTTTTTGTCTTAATTTTGTTTTCATTAAATTGTTTTGTTTATAATTTTAATGAATTATAATGTGCCAAGTAACTTTTTTGTGGCATACAAATAAATAAAAAATGTATAACTTATCGTTTATTCATGAATTTTTTTTTTTCAATGCAAGAGGGGCTCCCATTGTCAAAGTTCGCCTTAGGCCCCCTAACTCAGGGCCAGGCCTGAGCAACAGTGAATGATTTATCGAAATCCGTAGGCAACAGAGGAGCCAGGGAAAAAGTCTCCGTTCGATTCTTCTCTTGTTTAGTTTACATTGATTCAATTGATTATCGAAGATGTTGAACAGAAACATAATCAACCCCATGAAGAAAGAGAACTTGTAAGATAGATGAACGATTCACCCAAAACGACGTGAAAGAAGGAAGCGAAGATCCGCAACTTTTTGAACGACTTTTGGCAAATTCCTTATCCTATTTTTTTTTTCTTTTTTTTCTTAAAATTCTTTTTGTTATGACAGTGGGCCAAGAAAGGATGTGAAATGCCATTTAAGGTTTCCGTAGACTTATCCTAAAGAATAAATGTAAGTCGTTCTGGTAACGTTTACGTTTTTGTTTATTTTACAAAATTTTTATAAATTGATTTTTTTATTTTTAGAGAAAAACAAATTACAAACGGCCGTTTGTTTGAATAAAATGTTTTAAAAAATTCAAAAACATAACTAAAAAATATGTTTTGTTCAGCACTTAAAATACTGCCTAATATCTGTGATGATTTATTTGAGTGTAGAATAGGTATCACACCATTTATAATAAAAAATTATTTGAAAAAAATTAATTTGAAAAAAAAAATTGTTTTGAAAAAAAATTATTAAAAAAAATTATTTGAAAAAAATATTAAAAATGTATTCGAAAAAAAATTAATTGGAAAAAAAAAATATTATTTTAAAAAATAAATTTAATTAAAGAGAAAAATTGATGAAAAGTTAAATCATTTTTTGAGTTTACATTTTTTTTCAAATTTATAAACTGAGATTTACTTATTTATAAAATTAAACAATTATTAAATAAAATTTTTATAATAATTTTTTAAATATTTGTAAAGATATAAAACTAAAAAGTGAAAAACTGCAATCGTTACCCAACACACCCAGATAACCGTAGCTTATTATTATATATCTTGGAACCGTTTATTTAATCTCTCAAATCGAAAACATCTGAGAAGTGTAACCGTAGCATTATTATTTAAATATCTGTGACCGTTTTTTAATCTCTCAAATTCAAAACGTCTGAGACCCTCTCATCATCTACTCTCTCTCTCTCTCTTCTCTTCGTTCGTTTCATCTTCGCACACGATCGAACCTTTCGCATCGACTCCTCTCCTTCCGGCAACTCTCAGGTAAGGACTCTCTCTGTCTTTCCGGTCTCGCTCTCTCTCGCCATCTGTGATTTTTTGAGGAAATGGATAGACGAAGCCAAATACAGTGGTGTTTGGCCCCACGTGAAGCTTCGGTCAATGGCGGAGCCTCTACCAATGCTCGTACCTGATGGTCATCCAAACCTATCGACTGATCAATGGTACTCAAATACACACCATATTATATGTTGTACTTATTAAAATATATGTTTTTTATTATATATGTGTATATAGATAAGTTATCTCATGTAAAAAAGAATCTTTGATCTTTGTGCTCTTTTGAAAGGTTTCAGATCTTAGATGCTAACATCTGAAATGGATCTTTTGTCAAATGTAGTTCCTTTTATGGTACTAATTTGATTGTTTTAAATGAATATAGATTTGACTGGGATCTTAAGATCAAAATGGCTAGTATTTGTTAAATCTTTGAATTTGATTATATATGAATACTGTTTGATTGGGTAAAATTATGATTTATATATAGTATATATGTTTTGCTCTTACTAACAGTACCGTTTGGATCCTATATATATATATATATTAGTTTTGAACTATTAGATTTTAGTATATAATCGGTTAAAACACTATTTTAAGTGATTTTATCGATTGATATAATCTATTAAATAAAAATTAAAAATGCTTAAGATCCCCGAAAAATACTTAAATTTACCCTCAATGCCTTTGAAAGTTACATATTAGTTGATTTGTTTAGAAATAAATCAATTAAGATCTAACCCCTGCCATGTCATTGTGAATAAATTTAACGGTAAAGTTTTAGGTTCTCTAAGATCATCTTATTATACATTTTACAAATATTTATAATAATAATAATAATAATAATAATAATAATAATAATAATAATAATAATAATAATAAAATTGTTAAAAATCGGTGGAGGCCGGGTCCCCTCCCAGCCCTTACACAATGTTGCCCCTTAACACCATAATGTGTCATAAACCAAGGGTCATAACCAAACACCACTTGAGGCATAACCAAATACAATAAAAACCATCTTTAACCTTCAAATCTATAAAACTCTTAACTAATACGAATTTGAAAAGAGACAATAGAATGCAAATAGTAAAAAGAATGGCTTTTATAGATTTATTTGTAAATTAAAGAAAGATTATGTATATTTCCATATTCTAGTTAACAGTTACATGTATGAATATGTTACTTTTTAATTGAAGAAGACTGGTTTGACAAAGTAGACTTTCTAATTTATGTTGTTTTTGTTTTGTTCATTGATTATTCTATATATTATAATACAGACACATGGCGGAGGTATCAAGTGGTTCTAAATTTGTTGGCTTAAATGAAGGTCATAATGAGATTGAAATAGAGAAGGCAAAAAGTGTAGAAGATCCTACAGTAGGAATGTTGTTTGATTCCATTGATGACCTTGTTCAATTCTATCAAAGGTATGCAAAGGAAAAAGGTTTTCGCATGTGTATAAGAAGCTCTAAAAAAGTAGGAGGGGAGGCGAGGTATGTGACAGTTGCTTGTAATCATAGTGGAAAGCCAAAGATTAAATCAAGCAAACCCCATCAATTGCATCCACAATCAAAAACAAATTGCAAAGCTAAGATTTGTGCAAATCTATTAGGTGATGGAAAGTGGATTTTGAGATCTATGGTTCTTGACCATAATCATGGGGTGAGTCCAGGAAAAGCTCGATTTTATAGATGCCATAGGGTTCTCAATTCAACTGTGAAAAGGAGGCTTGAATTGCATGCTAAAGCCGGTATTAGAATGAACAAGAGTTTTAATTCATTAGTGGTTCAAGCAGGAGGGCATGAGAATTGACATATTTAGAGAAGGATTGCAGGAATCATATGGATAGGTTGGACGCATAGAGCTTGGAGAAAGAGATGCTACAGCAATGCATAATTACTTTTTGAAAATGCAAGCTAACAATTCTGAATTCTTTCACATGATGGATTTAGATGAAGAAGGCCGATTAAGGAATGTATTTTGGGCAGATGCAAGGAGTAGAGCTGCATTTAAAGAGTTCAGTGATGTAGTTACCTTTGACACAACATGCTTAGTTATGCAATGCCATTCGCTCTTTTCGTAGGAGTGAACCATCATGGCCAATCAACATTACTTGGGTGTGGATTGATCTCAGGTGAAGACACAGAGACCTTTACATGGCTATTTCAATCATGGCTCACATGTATGTCTGGATGTCCTCCTTCTGCAATCATTACGGATCAAGATCAAGCAATGAAAAACGCTATAGAGTATGTTTTTCCTAATGCACAACATCGGTGGTGTTTGTAGCATATCATGAAAAAGCTACCTGAGAAATTGAGAGGTTACAATCAATATGAAGGAATCAAGTTTTCTATGAAAAATGTGATTTATGATTCCTTAACTATAGGAGAATTTGAAGAAAGTTGGGGCAAATTCATTGAGAAGTATAAACTTCAAAACAATAAATGGTTCTTTAGCTTGAATGATGAAAGGCATCGTTGGGTGCCTGCCTATGTGAAAAATACTTTTTGGGCAGGAATGTCAACCACACAACGTAGTGTGAGCATGCATGCATTTTTTGATGGGTATGTTAATTCCAAGACCACATTGAAACAATTTGTAAAACAATATGAAAATGCTTTGGCAAAAAAGGTAGAAAATGAGAACAATGAAGAATTTATTTCAACTCTTGCATCCCATGTATGGTTGGTTATGAAATGGAGAAGCAATTTCAAAGTGCTTATACAACGGCAAAATTTAAAGAGTTCCAGCGAGAGCTAATGGGGAAGATTTCTTGTGATTTATCTTCATATAAGAAAGATGCTTACGTTTCAGAATGCAAAGTGGCTGAAGATATATTATTTGGAGAAAGCCATCGCCGTGTATCTTTTAATGTGTGCTTTGATGAAGATACTCATGAGGTTTATTGTAATTGTCGGTTATTTGAATATAGGGAAATATTGTGTAGGCATCAAATTGTGGTGTTCATTCACAGGAAGGTTGATCAAATACCGGATAAGTACATTTTGAAAAGATGGTCCAAAAATGTTAAAAGGAGCCATACAAAAGTGCGAATCAGTTATGACAACTGGGCTCTCAAACCTGAAGCACGCCGATTTGATAAAATGTGTAATGTCTTCTGCGAGGTTGCGGATTTGGCTATAGTGTCCGAAGATTGGAGTGAGAAGTTCATAGAAAGAATATGTGAGTTTTGTGTATGTATGAAGCAAGATAGTTGCCGAAGCGATAAACAAATTTCTGTACGTACTCGAAATGGGTCTACGTCATGTGGAGATGGCATTGGAATTTCAAAAGAGAGCACAAACATAATTGATCCCTTGGTAGCTCATTCAAAAGGGTGCCCACCATTTAAAAGAAAGCAATCTATGGTTGAAAAAGTTACTAAGAAAAAAAAAAGAAGGAAAAAAAAGAAGATTCATAGCCAAACTTGCAAGGAAAATGTGCACAAATAAATTGTGAGAAATCTGGAGAAGGCCGTGGTGTTAATGAATTTTATTGATTACTTATAATGGTTATACTATTGCTCATAATAATTGCTAACTTTGATTAACTTACATTTGTGCAGGAGCTGTAGGACAATGGGAATATGCATGGTGCAAGAGTTGTTGAAATTGTGACAGAGGAAAATATTCACTTACATGTAAGTAAAACAAATTTAGTGAAAATGTTTGTATCATAAATAGTTGGTAGTAACTTTAAAATATGACTTTAACCATTAGGAAGAGTGAGTTATGGCTTTAAATTTTAGGTTGTAGAATTCTGAAATGCATCAGTCACTGCATATCGGACAAGAAAGTTATGACTATAACAGGGGATTGGGCATGTGGCCAAACATGAGTAGTCATCCAAGTATCATTGGGATGAGTCCATATTTCGGTCAGCCAAATCTACTACAAGGAGGAAGTTCGTCATTTCAAGCAAGTATGTTCAAACAAGGGATTGGCATGTATCCATTCAAGGTATGCACTAATTTAATTCTATTAGTAAATCATAGCTTAGTTTAGTGTATTCTTTAATAAGAGTAACACTTTTTATTTTATTTTATTTATTATTAGGTTCATCATCATCCATATAGCGATCCCGGTTATCCCTCTACTGTTCTGTTGTTTTTCGGACGCGGTCCCGTGGAGTTGGTAGTTGTACCTATCGTGTTGTCAACCTTTAAGCTCTTTTGTTTGAGTTTTAGAACGTGTTGGGCTCAGTTGTTGCAGGTTGGTAGAGCTTTAGCCCCCATTATTGTTGCCCAGTTTTTGAACGGTCCGCTCGAGCGGGTCGTATTGCGCTCGAGCGGGGTTTTCACAGTTTCAGTATTTCGTGCCTCTGCAAAACTTCTGCATAAGTGTTTTCTACGCTCGAGCTGGTTTCTTGTGCTCGAGCGAGTCGCGCTCGAGCGGGTAGTACCCTTTTTGGTGTAAGTTCTGGGAGGGGAAAAGCTACGCTCGAGCGGACTGGTTTTCACGCTCGAGCGGAGGTGCTTTATTCTTGTGTCTTGGAGCTCGAGCGGGACTTTATGCGCTCGAGCGGACCTGTTTTTTTTGTTCTTGACACTCGAGCGTTGTGTTCTCCGCTCGAGTGGGAGAGTCGTATATCAGTTGGCAGCTAGGCCATTTCGAATCACTTTTTACATCCATACTCTCTCTCTTACTTTTTTAAAACCCATTTTTGAGAGCTCCTCTCTCTAGAATCTCCCTTCTCTCTAGAGTTTGATCTAGCTAGGGTGTTCTCCTTACCTTTGGTCTTTTTAAAAGTTGGATTGATCGTCGAGGGCTATCTTTTGATCCAAAAATCTTGGTCCTTGGAGCACTTTGGTTTTGGTCTCTTCTCCATCCGAGCTCTAACTTCGAGGTAGGGATAACCTACTCCATCTTATGAGCTTTGTCTTTGAATTTTAGCTTTTTGATATGTTGGGAGTTGTTGGGTAAATTTTGAGAAAGTTTGGGCCTTTGTGTAATTTTACAAAAGTTGGGGTTTTAAATATTTAAACCTATATGCATGTTGGGCATAGAGAAATGAGATAAATGTTGGGACATTGATGGAAATGGAACCTTAGGGTTGTTTGTGAATTATGGTAATTTGCCCTAATTGGTTTAATTAATTAACGCATATAATTAATTGAAGAGAATGAAGAATTGAATTGAGAATGTTGAAATTGGGAATGTATAAGACTAAAGAGTGTAGTCGAATCTTTTATTGCTCATCTAGTTGAAATATTGATATATTATCAATGTGTGCATTTGTTTCCTGCTTAGAAATAATTGCTTTGGGCTACCGGTGGAGGGTAGTGTTGATTGTTGTAGACAATGCATGATGATTAGGCAAACTAAAACTAATCAATCGAATGTGTCATAGAGTATGACGGTTGATAGAATACATTAACTTTATGTATTGAGTGATTGTGTATATGACCAATGTGTTTATATGCATTATGTGTAGACGGTTGGTAGAATACATTAACTTTATGTATTGAACGATTGTGTATATGACCAATGTGTTTATATGCATTATGTGTAGACGGTTGGTAGAATACATTAACTTTATGTATTGATCGATTGTGTATATGATTCTGTGTTTATATGCATTGCTTGTGTAGAGGAGGAGATGGGGGATGTACTCCGCGGTTTAGGGGAAGATAGGGGATAGAC